ACACCACACCACACACACACACACACTGTATCACAACCCGTCACTCCAGACTACTTTTCTGTGCAGAGTTCCTGCTGTTAGACTAATATTGTTGTTATTGTTTACAAGGACACTCTCTTCTCTCCCCTCTCTCTCTCCCTCTGTGTCTCTCAGTCCGTCTCTCTGTCTCTGTCTCTGTCTCTCTCTCTACATCTCTCTCTCTCTACTTCTTTCTCTCTCTCTCTCTCTCTCTCTGTCTCTCTCTACCTCTCTGACTGTGTCTCTTTCCCTCTTTCCTTCTCTTGACGACTCCTTGTCATCTGGCTCTGCTCCCATCCACGACGCCTGGTTCATGGCTCAAATGGGGTGCTCTGGGTTCCCCGTCAGTTTCTCTGTGTTCTCTCTGATGAAACCATTAAAGGACTGTTTAGACTTCACAATTGTACCATCAAAATGAGAAAGGGAAAAGCTGTTTGTTGTTATTTGTGGATTTAAACTAATTGTGAATTCCTTTTCTATTGGTCAAAGATTAAGAATGTGCTGTTATTTGGAGGAAGCTTCTGTGACGAGCTGCTGTTGTTTGCCAAATAATGAATGAAAATGAGGAATGCTATTTGATTTCTCCATTGCTTGAAATAACATATTAATTAAATCTAAAAAGATACTTAGAATAAAAAAGGAGAGAATTAATGGATTTTTATGTTTATTTTTAACCTGTTGCAGTTCCTTTTTGAAAACCTGTATGTCCACCACCATCACAATGCTGCAGGGTTGATTACTGTTTTGCACATTAAGATTCCTGCACCATCAGACGAGGTTGGGACGGATTCTATGAAAGAACTAAAAATAAAACCCTCACATTTTCTATCAAAATTAACATTTAGCTTCCACAAAAAAAAAAAAACAGCCTGTGTTTCCTGCCCCCCTCATACAATGAATCTTGACAGACATAAGGAATTATTTCTTTATGTACAATATATTGTGGATACATTTATCTTTTTAGGTAACTCATTTGTAGTTCTTTTTTTCTTTTCAGTAAGCATTATTACATAAACTCGCCAAGTATAAGTATGCAATAGAAAATACTGAAGACTAAATTTAAAATTAAAAAACATTATAGCATGAATTTCCTCATTTTATTATTTCCCACATCTTCACATGAAAGCAAATTGTTGGAATCATGCAGCCAGACTGCAAAAGCTAATATCTACAAAAGTTATTCAGTCAATTATCAAGTGACTGTATTAAAGCAATAGTTCAGCATTTTGGGAAATACATATTGATATATAGCTTACAGACACAAGTGTAGTATCAGTCGTATCATCTAACTCTCAGTCAGATCTTTTGTCAGCCCTCTTGAATAACTGATATGGTGTGTAAAACTAACTAAAGGTGTTTATATCTCTCTATGTTACATAAGTTGATGATTTTCTGTGCATAAATATCTGATTTTAATATCTGTTGGAGATATGACAAACATACAGCAAAAATAGAGTGGGTGTTACAACAGCTGGGGAGTAAATAAAAGCCTTCAAGGACAGATGTAAGTTCTCATTCACTGATTCGAACTGATGATCTGATGGAGAACCTCCAACCTCATCTGGAAAAAAAGGACTAAAACAGTGAGCAACAATGTAACAGGACACAGATGTGTAGATGTTGCTGTGTGGTTAGTTTATTATATGCATGTGTGTACATGCCTGTGTGTGTTTGCAAACATGCATGCAATTATGTATGTTTATGTCTCCTTTCCCTCCGTTCTGCTGCATTGATTCCAGCAGCTGCGAAACTGAAACTGCTCTTCATGCCAGGACTTGACGCCTTCTCTGTCAGAGCAGTTGCCCCCCACCTTCATCTGCAGCCCCCCTACCACCACCACCACCAGTAATAAAACCATACACTGCTAAAGACCGCCTGTCAATTCATACAGTGAAACTCTTCCCCCGCAGTTTACAGGTCCATACCATGGCAGCGTGCTGAGAGAGTACTCGCAGGTCTGAGCCCTGCTGTAAGCTGTAAACCTGAGAGAGTGTTTACTGTTAGCCAGAGAGTCATCCAATATAACCGTTATTAACAGTGGGGAGATGAAACTGAGCTGTGAGGAGAGAATCAGATTACCTTTGAGGAATTTACTTAGTTCAAATAATGTGTCTTTATTGTTTTATGGCCCAAGTAACAGAACAAAAATCAGTTAACAGTCATAAAGACAGACAGCAGTTTTGTTATTTTTAGTATGGTTGTGCCGCTTTAATAATGCAAATTACAGAATGTATCCAACCGAACAGTAGTTTTTATTTTTTTGCACAGTTTTATTAAGCCTTCCTGAAATAATGGAAGTGAATTTTTGTTTTTGTCACCAGTAACATTGGTTTTCATGTGTTTTCATTCGTGTGCTGGTTATTCTGGTCCAGAATAAGTAAAATAAAATGACACATGTAATTTTTCACTGCTGTAAACAACACAAACCAAATCCCATTCACCTTTTGTTGGAGTGTAAACAGAAATCCCAACAGCTGGACAAAAAAAAACCCAAACTTGATCAATATCTGTATATCTAGATCTAAATAAAGGTAAAAAACAAAAGTTAGGTTTGTTTTGCATTTTGTTTGAACTGACCCTTTAATATATTAATTTGCGTACTAGATTTTGGACATTAGGACGGACCACAGTACCAGTTTTTTTAAGCAGCGCTGGGAAACAGATGTGGGTTATAAGGTTTGATTTGATTAAACACAGTGCCTCACAGTGAAGCTCTTGCTTTGTGCTCCACACCTCCAACATACAACAATGTTTGGATTTCCTGCACAGATGTAAGGTTTCTATGATGGGATGTAAAATAAGTCTGTATTATGTTTCATGCAGTTAGTTAATCCCCAAACTCCCAAATTACCTAAAACCTTGTCAATCTTATCATCACAGGTCTGAGAGTTGTATTTAGACAAGACACAAAAACAAATGTCAGAAGTGTTTTACCCGCTCCAGCGCTAACACGCCACAGGAGCGCGACTGCAATGGAGGCCGGGAATGTGTTTGGCACGTTTTACCGCTGACCTGTGGGACAACACTGCCACTTGTATCACACATGGGGTTAAAGGTCAGTGTTTCAAGTCCCTGTATAAGGTTACAGGCAATTGGGCTGCCAGGTCTATGTGCTGGACCATTCATGATAGACGAGCCTGCACAAATGGCTGCCATGATGAGGGATATGATGAAGAGCAAACGAGTATTTCTGCGTCTGCGTGGATGGTCTGCATCAGGTCCACACATGCTGCACCTTCCTTTTTAAATTAAGTAATTGCCCAAATAAAGATTATTAGAGGCAATAAACCGGATTTTCACTGTAAATTTGATCGTCTCTTATAAAACAGAACCTTGATCCCAACAGGATGTATAAGGATGTGGTTAAATAGGAACTAATGGGGTTTTTAATGAGAGCAGAAAACATCCAAATGTTGTTTTCCCCTCTGACAAAACCTGCTGTTTTCCTGCTGTGATTCTGCTCATGGTTTGTAGCAAATTTGCACGAGAAAATAGTCTTAGAAGTAACACAAATTAAAATCTTGTCTAACTTAATAGAATATGTAGATTATAAAGCACACGCTCTCCGTGCACCTCAATAATCATCTTTCGTCAGCAGCTGTGTCACAGCACTTAAACCAAACCCACACAAACACATCATCTTTCATGCCCTTCCATGTAAAAATTAACCCAAATAAACACGGACTAATCTTTTCGGTAATCTCCCATGCAACGGTGATCCCGACTTTCCTGTTGGGATCTCTGCGTGGAGATTGGTCTGACTGTGATCCAGAGTTTATTGTGTTTGTCCAGCAGTTTGAGTCTGGTGCTGAGTTTTATTTTATTGTGGCAGGCCAGATGAAAGGTTTCCCTCCACTGGGCTTAGATAAACAGTAGTTCACAATCACAGCCGGGGCTGTATGAGAGGCTCAAAATGTGCCATGTAAACACACATTAATCAACATGTGGAAAGATTCTCAAGAGCACCCAACGTATCAGCCACTAGATCATAAAAAGGGAAAGTGTTGAGTTAAAATTATGCCTACTGTGTTAGTGTTGTGAAGTGGCTGAGCAAGTTTACAGTATATAAAAGAGCTGCGGTCGAATGAGTACGATGGATTTGGATTTTACAGTGAGTGAAAAAACTCTAATATATACTGGAGATGTGTGTGTGTTGCCTGTGTGTGTGTGTGTGTGTGCGTGTGTGTGTTTATGGTGGTCATCTAATGCAGGGTTCTGTAAACAGGATAAACAGGAGGTTTGGGGGTTTTAAGGTGTGTGTGTGTGTGTGTGTTGGGGTTAGAGAGGGGGATGGGTGTGTGGTGTGTGTGTGTGATGTGTGTGATGTGTCTTTTGGGGGGTCCCTGCTATCACTTAGCACGTTTTTTCCCTGAGCCTCGGCAGCTGGCTGGAACACACACACGCACACACTTGCTTCAGTCTCCCATTACAAGCACGAAGGAGAAACTACGGTGGCCGTGAAATGTGTGGAA